CTGAAGCCGGCGGGGGACCGGCTGGGACGAGTGCGCTCGGGGTCGCCGCCACCAGCCGCGCCGTGCTCCGCCCTCCGCGCGCCCGGCTCCGGCTCCGGCTCCGGCTCCAGCTCCGGCTCCGCGGCTCCTTGCAGCCCGGCTTCTTCACCTCCCCTCCCCTGCTCCTGCCTCCGCCTACGGGCGGGGCTTGGCTGCCGCCCCGCCCCACGCCGGCGTGCACCTCGCACCGACGCCCGCCCGCTGCTGCGCACCACGTCCTCCTACCCATCCTCGGTTGGACCAGGGCGCTCAGTCGCAGCTCGGCAAGAGGCGGCTCGGGGCAGGCGCGGGGATGGGGCACAAACACCAGGCAACCACCCCAAGCCTGGCCTGCCCCGGGTAGGCCGGTGGCAGCCTGAGCTCTGGGGGCCAGATGGCTTTTCCGCTACCGCACCCTTCGGAACCCGGAGGGTCGAGTGGAAGGAAGGCTACGCAGGAAGAACTGACGCTGGGGGCCAGGCATCTCAACCCCGGCAGCCTGGGCCTAACACGCCCGGCTGCCCATCAGCCTCGGGAACAGCAGCCCAGCCGCGGGAGGGGACTTGCGCAGTAACTGAGGACAAATCAAGACCACTAGCAGCATCTCATTTATTGGGCAACTCCAGGTCCTCTCCGGCCAGGACATGGCCGCTGTTGCTCAGGTATGCACGCAATCTGCAGCTGGGGAGGAAAGAGCCAGACCCGCAACAGGCACACAGGGGGGAACGTGCACGAACTGTTTCTCTGGCTAAAGTGGGGTGGAGACAATCTGGCACGCGGCCTACCCTCCCGCGGCTGCCAGGTGCATGGGGGTGACACTGGCACCCCACAGACATGGGGTGCAGGGCGCAGTACAGGAAGCCTCTGGGGTCAGTAGAAGCACACAGTGTGCAGGAAGGCTCGGCCGCTCTTCTCCTCGAACTCCTGCAGCAGTTCGTCGATCTCGTTCTCCATGTCCTCCGTGTGCTGGATCTGGGGAGAGCACACCCTGAGCGCACTCGCTAGCAGGGACACAGCCCCACCCCCAACCCGCAGATCCCCCAACTGGAGCCCTGGCTCCGGAGAAGCAACCAGGTTTGCAGAATCCTCTCCACTATGCAGGCCAGTAAATGGGGCACAAAAAGGGACAGGCACCTGCGCAAAGCCACACAGCGGGGAGGAAGCTATGTGCTGGATCGCTGTGTGCAGGGCATAGTGTTGTCCAACATCACATCCTGCCACCCTCCAGTCTTAAGTACCACAATCACTGCACACATCATCGGAGAGCTCCTGGCGGACTGCCTCCCCTGCCTCTTCAAGCATGGAGAGGCAGTCCAGCTTTCGGTCACACCTGCCCTGCCATGACTTGTCCCCATGGTGCCCAGCCTTGCCTGGCACAGGGGCTCTGGCCAGAAGCTGTGTGCACCCCTCTCCAGGTGCTTCTACTGCAGCAGACAGTGAGGCATGCAGAGAACCAAAGGCTGGACCAAGAGGGCAGGAACCTGGGCCTCCGCCACAGTCCTGGCTCAGTGACTGCTGTGGGCCTGCTGCTGCTGAGCCAGTTTCCTCCTGTCTGTCACGGACAGCCCTAGGACACAAGACAGTGCTGCACGGCAGCTACTCAGGCCAGGGTGACTGGGGGTGCCACCTGCTCTGCGGCAGGGCCTGGGCTGAGGGTTTATCAGGGCCAGGCTTGAGTCCAGGTCACAACGCACAAGGAGGACCACCTCACACACCCTCCACAGCTGAACAAAAGCCACCTGGCCCATCCCCAAGTGTGCACTGCTCTGCGTGCAACCACATCTCGACTTCTGCAGCACAGGCGGGGCGGGGCAGGCCAGGCACCCTGTACTCACACACTGGCAGAGCTCGCAGATGAGAAAGGCCCCCAGGGTGGCCTCCTCGTGGTTGTCCTGAATATCCACGTTGACCACGTGCACGGGCTGGCAGGTCTCCTGTTCTCTGGAATTCAGATCTGATTGGGACAAAGTGACAGACATTGGTGGCTCCAGAGCCAGGCAGCAAAAGTCCCTCATGTGGACCTACCTTGTCCTTCATTGGGCTCAGCTGTTGCTAGACTTTGGCATTTGGGAACACAACCCAAGCACTACACCAGTGACCTGGCCTAGGGACTCTTTGCGAAACGGGGATTGACCTCAGACCTTTGCACTTGCCAGGGAAGCACTTATTCCACTGAGCCATCTCCCCGGCCCTGGCCTAGGGACTTCCTGAGGACAGTCTTTGGTGTCCAGCTTGTCCTGGGCCAAGGCCTCCCATGGTGGCAGTAGCTTTTATGGTCCCCACGGCACACCCTGCACGGCCCAGCGCAGAGCCAGAGGCCGATCTTCAGCAAAGGCTGCAGCACCATACCGGTCTACCTCCTGGGGACCTCCGCTTGCCACCTGGGCCCCAACAACGCACACTGTGTGGGTCGGATGGGCCTGTCCTCGGGCTGCCACTCGGGGCCAGAGCCCTCATCCCTGGCTGGGAGTGTTTCTTGGGCACCACACATGGGCTCACCTTCCACCACCTGGTCATAGACCCTTTCTTCGCAGGTCAGGATCAGATCAAACAGGTCCTTACAGTTCTGGAACCTCTCTGGCCGAGGCTTGATTCTTTTATTTCTGTCCAACATATGCAAAATTCCATTCTGCGTGTAGCTGAGTGCCAGGCGTTAAGGTGCTTTGGATAGCAGCTTTTGTTCATTCCCCCCAAGTGCTGGGTCGTTCCCACCCTGGCCGGCTCCACGAGAAGGGGCCCTCATGGGAACAGAGGCCCAGGCCAGCTGTCCCAGCACCCTCTTCCCTATGCCAACTTGGGCCTGCCTACTCCAAAATGTGCCTTTGGCACACAGAGCTCCCTGGGAAGTCCCACGCCAGTTTAGCAAAGAGCAGCAGGCAGACTCTGGAAAACCCACTGCTTTCTGACAGGACAGTCTAGGAGCAGAAAGGCCTCAAGGCTCTTCACTGTAAGTCACTTTGACAAGGTAGCTGCAGCCACCTGTTGTAAAGAGGCCGAAGGTGAGGCGCCCGCAGAGCTTGGCCCACAAGCGGCTCGTGTGCTACTGCCCCGTGGCACGCATGGGGCCACTCCCCAAGGGTGCAGGGCAAGGCATTCTTCTGCCACAGAAGCCCACGGCCTATGGGGTTATCTGAGTCTATCTGGACATCTGTTAACCGTACATTAGGAAAAAGCCTAGCTGCTCTGGAATTGAGTGCCCAGGCCCGCACACAGGGCCTTGCACAAGAGCTGCTTCCCAGCCCCAGATTCAGGGATTCACTCCCCGCAACACTTGGATCCCATCCAAGGCTACTCTACCACTGAACTGCATCCCTGACTCTATTACTTTTGAAACAGGGTGTCATGTAGCTCAAGCTGGCCTTGAACTACGTAGCCCAAGGTCATCTTCCTGCTTCAGCCTCCAGACAGCTGGGATGACAAGCCTGTGTGCCACTACACCCAGCTATTTTTGGTTGAGACCAGATCTGCAAAGACCAGGCTGGCCCCAAACTCACAGCCCCCGGCTCCCAAGAAGCTTGGGTTTCAGATGGACCTGGTTCCTAGGCAGTCCTGGATAAAGCAGACACAAGTCCTGGGCTGCTCTGCTTCTGCTTCCTCCTCACTCAGAGGTGGTGTCAATTGGGCAGATGTCCAGGTGCCCGGAGGCTCTGCCAAACACAGGGGCTGCAGTGTAAGTGTAACACTGGGCAGGGAGGACCCATGTTTATTTCAGTGCGTCAGTGACATCTGGTCACCAGGGGTGCCTCTCCCTAGCCCCTGGGCTGTAACCAGCAGCAGGGCAGAGGTGCCTGCCTGACAGTGACCATGGACATTCTGGGAACCATTGCCGGTTCCTGACCTCCACATCCACTTGAGGATAAATTGAAGTAAGTGGACTAGTTTTTGTTCTGTTTACAAATATAAAAGTATCACAATACATGATCATGTTAAGACTAAAGCCAGATGTCATTTGAGCCAACTGAAGGCCACCTGAGAAACATAGTGAGACCCTGACAGAGGGCTGTTACTCACAAGCAGAGGGCTTGCCCTACACACACAAGACCTCAGGCCTGCTCCCCAACATCACAAAACATGGCAAAGAAAAGAGGCAGTGGGGAATAGTGGATCTCTGCTTGTTTCCTCAAACATTCAGCCCTCTGCCCCTACTGTCTGTGCCTGGCACCAAGTAGGCCAGGCAGGAAGCTGACCATGGGAAAAACGATCGCAGTAAAGCCAGCTGGGGTCGGCTCATCCTGGAGAGCAGGTCCCCGTGAGCTGGCCTCCTCACCAAGGCAAGCAGATGCCCGGCACACCACTCCAGATGTGTGAGACAGCACACGGGACTCAGCCTCTAGCACACTAATACCCCTAGGGTCTGTGGGTGTGCACAGGGTCTTGGGGACTGGCTGAAAGTACTTTGGAGGCCAAGAATAAAAACAAACTATTTCCCTCTCCAAGACTACTAATTTCATGATTTAAAGATTAGCAGGGATCTTACCAAAAACCAGTTTTCAGAGGCAACCACAAATATGAAAGTACAAAGTGGGGCCCTGGGCTGTTGAGTGGATAGCAGCCCTCCCTCCCCACTGTCCCCCCACTGTGTAAGGGAGCTCACCAAGCAGGGCCATCTTCAGGAGCTGCCCAGAGAATAGCACTGGCAAATTCACGCACAAGAACCAGTGCCCACTTACATCAGTCCAGACATTCATCTGAAGACCACTGCTGCTGAGCCAGTTAGGACAGATGGGCCAAGTGTGGCGACTCACATACGTAATCCCAGCACTCAAGCAGACTGAGATAGGAACACTGCAGCAGTCTGAGACCAGCTAGTGACATTCAGTGACTTGGGGAGACCCGGTTTCAAAATTTGTAAAAAGGGGTTGGGATGCAGCTCAGTGAAAATCCTGGGTGCAATTTCCAGTAATCCCACCTGTCCAGGACCTGATGGCAGAGACTGAGCTGTGTGCTGCAAGGGGAGGCTCAGAGACCAAGCTGAGGCAGATGGGAGTGTGGGAATGGTGATAGGCTCAGACGCCTCTGCACCCCGAGTTCCCAGAGCCCCACAGCAGGTCAGTTCACATGGGGACAGGTCATGCCACAGCGCTTCTCAAGTTGTCCCTGCTTCTAAGGGCGTTTTTGTCCTCTTACAGCAAGACTGAGTCAGGCCAGGATCCAAGACCACACTGCAGCCATACCAAGTGGGGCCCTGCAAGCTAAAGGGTTGTGGTTTCATCTGGATGAGGGGCGTGGTGACCACTGCAAATCAACACAGCTGGCCATGTCACAAGAGCAGCAGAGCTGAGTCCAGTCCCTGGGACACCAGAGCTCTGGACAGCTTCCACATGACCTTTAGGTCAGCCACCCTCTGCTGCCACCTCTCCAGGAGGCTGAGGAGACAGCGGGAGGCCAGCCACCTGTCCCCAACAAGCATCCTGAGGGAAGGCCACCTGCTATCCTGTGGCGATACCCTCCCATGACAAGTGGACACATGTAGGAAACATCAGGCAGCAAAACACTACCTGGCCTTGCACTGTCAGTGCCCAAAACCAGAAAGCTCAGGTCTCCAGGGCAAGCCCTGAAAATGACACAGGTTGTTCCTGATTGCTGCATGTACTGTCAGCAGGAAGCAGTGTCAGCCCAGGTTCGAGACATGGGACCAGTTGGGGAAGGACAGGCCAGCACTGGGCAGGATGGAGAAAGCCATGTTGACATCTAAACAGGAAATGGAAGGCAGGTGGAACAGCCCACCCTCCCCCAGATGAGCCCCTGCCTTTCCCTATGGGTATCCCCACTCCTTCTGTCATTCAGTGCCAAACTAGGCTGAAATTCGTGATCATCCTGGCTTAGTCTCCCAGAGCACCAGGAACACAGCTGGGTATCACTATCACCTTATTATCATCTTGCATCATCTCCAGTATGTGACCGAAAGTTTGTAAATTGTGGCTTCCAAAAAAAACAAATTCAAGGGCCGGGGACATAGCTCAGTGGCACAGTGTCTGCCCTGCAAGTGTGAGGCCCCGAGTTCACTTCCTGGTACTAAAAACAAAAAAGCAACATTCAAGTTGGTGCAAGTGTGCAGACTTGTAATGCTAGCAGCACACTGGAAGGCTGAGACAAGGCAGCTTGGGGCAAATCAAGACTGCTTCAAAATTCAGTAAGAGAAGTACAAGGCTGGGGCCCAGCCCCAGGAGAGATGCGCGGCCTGCAGGCAACGCTCCTAGGAGGTAGAACTGGGGCACTATCTGCTGCCCTGAGCAACAAAAAAATCAAGAGTAATCTTGGAACAGGAGTCCAGTGAGAGCCCTGGTCCAAGCTTCCCCAAAACTGCACTGGCTCTGGTGAGTAAGGGGGTAGGGAGGAGGACACCCAGGATGGCAGCCAAAAGGCCATGGCACTCACAGTCTCAAACCATTTCTAGCCTGACACCTTCACAGCCAGCTGACAAGATGCACCCTTGAAGTGGGGCAGGAGTCGAACCCCTTCGAGACAAAGTACTGAGGGGGTAAACACAAGACAGCTAAAGAGCAACCTCAACTCCAGGGATTACAAAGAGCCACAGATAAATCAGAGCGCACAGGGCTGTAGGATCAGGGCTCCACCCTGAGGCTTGGCTACATGTGTATTTCAAAGCAATGCTTAGGTATAGCTGGTCCACAAAATAAAAATCACACTAATGCCACTTACAGCCACAGCTTTACCTGCTTCTTCAGACTAGTCACTGCAACTCATACTGCAATTATGTACTCAAATACTTCAAATGGACACACAACTTACAAAAGATGGCTGAGATATTTGGCAGTACTTGGGACTGAACCAGGAACACTGTACCATTGAACTAGGTATGTCCTCAGTCCCTTTTATTCTTTAACCTTGGGACAAAAGTCTTGTTAAGCAGCGCAGGCAGGACTTGAACTCGCGATCCTCCTGCCTCAGCCTCCCTCAGTGTGTGACAGTGCTTTCACAGCATCTTATGAACATACTGTGGGCCTCTGGTGGCCTTGTGGGGCTGCCTTGGAGGGGCAGCTGCCAGCCAGCAAGGAACAGCCCTTAGAAGGGTGCTCTGGCCCTTCACGGTGAATACTACACTTCTGGTAATTTTATAGTATCCACTTGCCACACACAGTAAGTAGTCTTTCCCCTGCTGCCATGACACCCTTCCTGGGTCTGGTGACACTTTTGAGTCTCTGCTCAGAGATAGGAAACCAAGAGCAATTTGGGGAGACCCCATCTCAACGAGAGCAGAGTGGCTGGGGACAGAGCAGCACAGGAGTGCTGGATTCACTCCCCAGAGCCAAACAGAAAGGGCACCTGGAAGCCCCCACACCTGCAACACTGTGCGCTGGCAGAAACCACACAGTGGGGGGCCAGGCTGTCAGCCCCTTGGGACCCACAGTGACTCTAGGGGGCTGTCCACCAGCCAGGCACACTGGTGCTTGCCTATGTTCCCAGCCACACGCAGCAGACAGCAGGACCACATGCTCAAGGCCACCATGGGCAGCTTGGGTGAGACCCTGTCTCAGGGCTAGGGCTATAACTCAGTGCTTCCTGGGCTCAACTCCAAGTGCTGACTGAAAAATATAGACACCACCCCCTCCACTTAAGCCAGCAAATCTAAGCCTATGCCACGATGCAGGCTCCCAGACCTTCCATACCTGCAGTG